CTGATAACGTGATAGCCAGGGGTCTGTTGCTGTGTCTGGTACTAGACTGGACAAATATATGAGTGGGAGGGGCTGGGTTTGATTGGTGTCATTGGGTACGGGAGTTATTTCTTGGGTGGCTTTAGGTAGAGATCGTTTTGATAAGGACCTGCCTCGTATGGGCCAGTAGGCCTTCTGCAGTGTTCCTACATTCTTATGTTCTTATGTTCTTAAGAGGCAGTCTCTCTTTTCCTTGGTTTAGAAAGACACGTAAGCAAACACTATAACATGTAGTGTCTAGTAACGTGGTAGCCAGGAGTGTGTTGTCGTGTCTGGTAACGTGGTAGCCAGGACAGCTATTGATGCCAATAACAAAATCCCCCCAACAAACACAGATTACAACCTCGTTCATATTTACAACGTGGTAGTCAGTACAAATACTGATGCCAATAACAAAATCCCCCCAACAAACACAGAATACAACCTCGTTCATATTTGCTAATACACAAGGGCCTTAAGCCATCCACCAACAACAAAATACCTTTTATCAGTGGACTTCTAGAGGAGTCTAATGCAATGTTTGCAGCTTTCACAGAGACACACACAAAAGATCACTTTGACAGTGAAATATGGATAAGTGGTTACAACCTTTTTAGATGCGACAGAATGAGTAGGCAACAAGGGGGGGTTGGCCTGTATGTCAAAGAGTCCCTAATCTGCACAGAGTTGCTGAACACCACAAATGAGGTAGTTGAAGCTCTATCAATAAAGATCGAGAACCAAAACCTAGTCATTGTGGTTGTATATAAGCCACCAGATGCAACCTCACAATAGTTCATGGAACAGCTACTGAAAATTGATTACTGTCTGGAAAACCTTCCAGCTCCATCCCGAAACATCTTACTGCTTGGTGATTTCAACCTAAGGCATACAAAATGGAAGAGTGTAGCAAATAATGTTATAGCTGAAACAATCCCCGGAGGTAGTGCAGATGAAAGGTCACACACACATGAGCTACTAAGTCTCTGCGAAAAACACACCTTAAGCCAGCAGATAGTGGAGCCAACAAGACTAGACAACACACTTGACCTTATCTTCACAAATAATGAGGACCTGATAAGAGACATAAGAATATCAAAAACAACTAATTCCAATCACAACCTAATCGAAGTCCAGACGTACATGCATAGGGGTCCAGATCAGCAGAATGTATGTACCTGTAAAAGTGTCTTCACAAAATACAACTTCAACAACAAGAACATCAACTGGGACCAGGTAAACCATGTCCTAAACGAAACATGTTGGGAAGATATCTTAAATGACATGGATCCAAACCAGTGCCTTGAAAGGATCAACTTCCTGGCAGCTGAAGCATGTTCTAGGCATATTCCCCTAAGAAAGAAGAAGAGCAGGAGTAAACTGGAGAGAGAAAGACGCTCCCTCTACAGAAGACGACGAAGAGTCACTGAGCTCCTCAGGAGTGCTAGAATATCTGATACATAAAAGGAGGCGCTGACCAGGGAAGTGGAAACTATCGAACTCAGTTAAATGACTCTCACAGGAAACAGGAGAGACAGGAGGAGCTTAAAGCTGTTAGTGAAATTGAAAGAAATTCAAAATATTTCTTTTCATATGCCAAAAACAAAGCAAATACCACATCTAGTACCGGGCCCTTACTCAGACAGGATGGGACTTACACAGATGACAACAAGGAAATGAGTGAAATATTGAAATCCCAGTACGACTCTGTGTTTAGTGAACCACTAATCAGTCCGAGGATCGACGACCCAAATGATTTCTTCATGAATGAGCCTCAAAACTCCATAAATGTATGCCAGATTTCCGACATTACCCTAACTCTGATAAATTTCGAAAAAACCATTGACAACATGCCCGTGCACTCAGCCCCGGGCCCAGACTCGTAGAACTCTGTTTTCATTAAGAACTACAAGAAACCCCTCTCGTGTGCCCTAAGTACATTATGGAGGAGGAGCTTGGACATGGGTGAAATTCCGCAGTCACTTAAAACAACGGATATAGCCCCACTTCATAAAGGTGGCAGCAAAGCATTAGCTAAGAACCATAGACCAATAGCTCTGACGTCCCACATCATAAAAATTTTTGAAAGAGTGCTAAGAAGCAGGATTGCAAATCACCTGGATTCCCAAAAACTGCACAGTCCAGGGGAACATGGGTTCAGGGTAGGTCGCTCCTGCCTCTCACAACTACTGGATCACTATGATATGGCCTTGGATGCACTGGAAGAAAATCAGAATGCAGATGTAATATACACAGACTTTGCAAAAACATTTGACAAATGCGATCATGGCGTAATAGCCCATAAAATACGTGCTAAAGGAATAACTGGGAAAGTGGGGAGATGGATCTTCAACTTCCTAACAAATCGAACACAAAGAGTAGTGGTCAACAGAGTTAAATCAGAGGCTGCCATAGTGAAGAGCTCTGTTCCACAAGGCACAGTACTCGCCCCATCTTATTCCTCATCCTCATATCAGACATAGACAGAGATATACATCACAGCACCGTATCATCCTTTGCGGATGATACTAGGATCTGCATGAGGCTGTCATCTGCTGAGGATGCGGTTAACCTCCAAGAAGATACAAACAAAGTTTTCCAGTGGGCAACGGTAAACAGTATGATGTTCAATGAGGACAAATTCCAACTACTCCGTTATGGAAAACTGGAGGAGATAATAGCTAGAACAGAGTATACTACAGACTCTGGCCATACAATAGAGCGGAAAAAATAATGTAAGGGACCTGGAAGTAGTAATGTCTGAGGATCTCACTTTCAAGGATCACAACAGTGCCCCGATCGCACGTGCAAAGAAAATGATAGGATGGATAATGAGAACTTTCAAAACGAGAGATGCTAAGCCACTGATGATCCTTTTCATATCACTTGTTCTCTCTAGGCTGGAATACTGCTGTACATTAACATCTCCATTCAAAGCAGGTGAAATCGCAGATCTAGAGAGTGTACAGAGATCCTTTTCTGTCAAGCATCTTAACTACTGGGAACGCTTGGAAGCACTTGACTTGTACTCGTTGGAACGCAGGAGGGAGAGATATATCATAATCTACACTTGGAAAATCCTGGAAGGAATGGTCCCAAATCTGCACACAGAAATCACTCCCTACGAAAGTAAAAGACTGGGCAGGCGATGGAAAATGCCCCAATAAAAAGTAGGGGCGCCATTGGTACACTAAGGGAAAACACCGTAAGTGTCCGGGGCCCAAGACTGTTCAACAGCCTCCCATCAAGCATTAGGGGAACTGCCAATGAACCCCTGGCTGCCTTCAAGAGAGAGCTGGACAGATACCTACAGTCAGTGCCGGATCAGCCGGGCTGTGGCTCGTACGTTGGACTGCGTGTGGCCAGCAGTAACAGCCTAGTTGATCAGGCCCTGATCCATCGTGAGGCCTGGTCATAGACCGGGCCGCGGGGGCGTTGATCCCCGGAATAACCTCCAGGTAACCTCCAGGTAACCATGCTTAGTAACGTGGTAGCCAGGGATGTGTCGCCATGTCTAGTAACGTGGTAGCTAGGGGTGTATTGCTGTCTAGTAACGTGGTAGCTAGGGGTGTATTGCTGTGTCTAGTAACGTGGTAATCAGGGGTGTGTTGCCATGTCTGGTAGCGCGGTGTAGGTTAGTTTCAGGAAGAGGTGTTTTGCCGTATCTGGCAACATAGTAAGCAGTGGCGTAGTGCTGTGTCTGGCAATACCACAACCAGGTGTGTTATGTCTTGTCTGGAATTGTTTATATATCTAGGAATGTGTTGCTGGTAACATCATAATCCCACAAGTGTCTTGCCGTGTCTGGCAATAAAGTAGTACTGCAAAAGCAGCGTTGCCGTGTGTATTACCATACATGTTAATGAATGCTGGTGGGTGGTCACTTCCTCTTTCCTACTCTATAACGTGCTTGTAACCTACTCTTAGTGACAAATTATTCGAGTTTGCGTCCTGTTCTTTCCACTCGTAGCTTAGCTTAAGAAATCATCAACATTAAATAATTGATGAACTGCTCATCAACTATGTGTGTGTACTTTGCGAGTTGTGTTGTGATGGAAAGACATGTTGCTGAACAAGCTGTTACTGGGACAACTTTTCGCTGTGTACAGCTTCATTAGGTCATGATAGGATTTGTTAAGGCTTTGCACCAAACAAAATATTGTCAAAATGACAATATTACTCTGCATCTTATCTTATCTTCTGTGTTGTCGGCAGTCCTCCATTCATGTAAATAAGACGCATAAACAGTACTAGGATATTTAATGAGTCAAGGCTTCGCTGGTGAGGGGGGGCTCTTGATCTAGGGAATTGGATCTATGTTTCAGTTCCCTGAATTCAGCCAGAATACGTTCCAAACCCCTTCTTCCCTTACAGTTGAGGATTGAAAAATTGCCCAAGTGAAACGTCTCAGCAAATATCCTAGCATAGCACATGTGCCTTATATACTTACTCGTCATTAGTTCACAGCAGGGTAAGAGTGTGGCAGATACCTGCCAGTGGGGAATAACATGCATGTGACGTATTATTGTTATGAGGAGCAGACATTTAGCTTGGGAAAGCTTAGTCTCAACCCTTTACAGAAAAGAGAATGAGCAGTGTATATACAATGGTCAAGGACGGGTGAGGTGTGATGCAGAGAGGTGTGGTCACTATTTATCCAATCACAGACTCCTCAAGGGAGGTTCCTTGATGCTGGTGAGGGGCTCTTGATCTAGGGAATTGGATCTGTGCTCCAGTTCCCTGAAATTAAAAGCCTGAATGCCTTCCATCCTTCACACTTCCACCTTCACACGTCCATCTTTCACAAGTCCATCCTTCACGCGTCTATCCTTCACACGTTCATCCTTCACGCGAGAGAAGACAGCTCACTGACACTTTTCGAATATTTCAGGTCCAGTCTGTTACAACGAAATCTTCTCCTTTGTCTCTTGGTTACGTTAATTCAGGTTTATCCAGAGCAACGACACTGGTGACCTATTTGA